TGGACCTATACTTTCGTTACGCACTGTATTTGCGCCATAAGAGACCCTTCTTTTGGTAAGATGAAATGTGAAATAGGAACCATTCCTGAACTGATCAGTCTCTGACATTTGATATTAACATTGCCGTTTAGATTAGAAGTTCTGCCATTAGCAGCCCCCATGCCTCGCTATGTCTAGGAAATGCTATTGAATAAGAGCGAAGGCGGCCGCTTGAGTGAGCTTATGGTATGAATGACGACCAACTTGCATAAGTTTTCGAAACTGAGTGGGGTGAATCTTGGATCAATGTTCTACGGAAGAAGCGGATTGGCTTTCTGACTGTATAAGGGAACTTTCAGTGTCTTTATGGATACCTAATAAAAATCCGCAAAAATATTGAGAGCTGCAGCTATTAAGGTAACTGCTTTTTGCTTGCCCTCAGCTGCGCATTTAGCCAAATAGAGATTTCGCACTTGCGGGTTGGGAATTCTAGCTGCCGACGGGAGATTTCTCCATGCATGGTACTTAGCCATTTCTCGTTAGTACGTCTTTATCGTTAAACTCGCCCGATCTGCACTGAGAGCGTTGAGTATTGTCGTGTCTGCACCATGAAATCCCATTTGATCGGCAGTATTGCTGAGTACAATTCCTTCACGAAAACGTGGACCTGAAACATAGCGAGATATACACTTTTTCACTTTTTTTCAATCTGTTTCCCCGATGTGAGACGAGCGGGTGAGTGGGCAACCGCTCTACGGTTGCACATGAACCAGGGCTGGGATTCATGAAAGTTTTATTGGGCTAACCAAGTTTTCGGTTTACCTTCACTGAGAATGACTGGAATAAATATTGACTCCGTAATAAGTGATTGTTTTTGCTTGATAAGTAAACCTTGAAAATCAATGCTCCATTCTAAATCATTTGTTGCTAGCCTAAACTATAGTTTTGGTTTGCAGAAAGTTTCATGAATCCCAGTCCAGGATATCTGTATTTTCGTCGCAAGCCAGTGAACAAATCGTACACCACATGATATACGTGGGGATATCTCGGGGATCAGTAGTTCAAAAACGTCCAGTAGTTCAAAATACCACCTATACCGCTGTAAATTCTGGTATAAATTATATTTCAACTACTGAACGTAACAATGGGTTGTGGAATATGCAAAGCCGGGGGATATTGATAGGCCGTTTGCTTAACCTATATCGAAGTCTATGTGCAAAAATAAAAAAGGAAAACGAGAGGATTCAGAATCAAACGCCCTAGGAAAACACGGCTCTTTAAAAAGTTTTGTACCAGGGGAGAACAAATCGCATCCTTGATGAAGTAGGCCTAGTGTGATCCTTCTCGAAGTAGGGGAAGAAGGCCTGAGATTCCCAAAGAGGACATCCCAGTATGCCCGCTGAAGAGTGTAGATGCGCCCATTTTAGTGTTCTGATGATTAGGTTAGCCGAACAAAGTTACCAAGGAAACCCTCGTCTTCATGTTTAGGGTGAGTAAAACAGCCGATTCCTGACGAGCCAGGATATTATATTGAGGCCTGCAAAAAAAACGTGCTACGTTCCGAATTTCTGTCATTCGCAATATCTGCGGAGTACACCATCTCTCTGTCATGATTCTGATTATATTTTATCGCTAATTCTTCAGTCATCATGGTCAACGAGGCTACTTGCTAAGTCCGCCTTCTTGTTCATCTCTCTAATACACCACACAACGAATAAATGAAGATCGTGATCCACCTCAAGGTACAAGTTTCTCGAGCTTGTGACTGTAAATGTTTGGCTATGCTTCCTTTCGCGTAAATGGTAGCTGCTGCCTGATTATCTATATAAACTCTAACCCATTTATTCTTTCCAAGAATATCCTTGAAAGTATCTAATTCGAAATTTATGGCGTAAACTTCTCTAGCAGTACTGGATTTTTCCAACAAGGGGAGGAAGCTCCCTGAAGCTTCTAGAAACTCAAACTCCATTTTGTAAATAAAGTAGCATATTGGTAAAAGAAACTGTTTTGGAGACCTCGGGAAAATCAATACACCGAGTAGGATTATCGGCAAAGCGCAACTGCCAGTGTTTCAGTTCACTTTCTTCCTCTTGCGTTATGGCCCATTTGTGACGTAACTCTACTTCGGCTGCCACTGCTTTTGAATTTCTTTTGTCTCGTTGATTCGTGATGAGTTGTAACGAAGACAGTGTACCTGACCAAGGTAATCTGTCATACAGCGAAGGAGTTGGACTCTCATACAGGTCTACTAACCTATTTATGGCTCCCTGTGATCTATCTGGAATGACACGAATAGACATTGTGTCAAGATCAATAGTAAAACCCAAATACTTTTCTCTCTGTTGAGGTTCCCGTATGCACTTTGCATCGGCCAATTGCCATCCAGCTTCAAGGAGACTATGCTTGATGGTAGCGGCAATCTGGAGGCAACCCCTTCTGGAAGGTTCGAAAATCAGACCATCGTCGATGTAAATTCCGTACCTCCACGCTGCTCTTTGAAGTTTTTGACCCAGACTCTAAGCATGTGAAAGTGTGAGGTGCGGAGGACAGCCCAAAAGGGAGGTAGCAAAACTGATAGCAAATGTTTTTCCATGAAAAGCCTAGGTAAATTTGATGTTCTTCCTTAATTTGAACCTATGACAGCTTAACTTGAAGTCGAATGTTACCATATAGCCTCCCTTGGGAGGAACGTGCAGAATAGTACCAAGGTCATCTAGCTTAATTTTGAGAACCTCCAGAAATTGGTTAAGGTGAGATTGAGAACTAATCTCAATTTTTTGCCTTTTGCCACTGACAGAGGATGAATATAAAGGCTGCTAATTATATAGGGCAATTTTAACTAACAACTGCGAGTGCGAGACTATCCACCCTGCGAAAGGCAGGGTCTGCCGCCACCATGTTTCACCAACTCGTTGTCACGGCCTCTCCCCTCTCTACTCTTGTCTCGTGGCCACGCCTATTTGTTGTGATGGGTGGATTACTATGCAACTTGTTCGGAATGGATTGTTGTCTTTTACCTCATTCTTAATAAAGCTTATGTAATCTTTTGATCTCTTGACATGGAGGTCCCGGGGAGATTTGAACTTCCGTCACAGGATTCAGAGTTTTGAATGCTAACCGCTACACCAGAGGAAAGCACGTTATGCACGCTGAACAAAATTTTGACATGAAGTGTTACTGTTCCACCGTGATTACCGTGTTGTTTCGAGTACTGGTTTCAAGGAAGTCACCCTAAAGTTGCTCTTCTTGAGAAATTTCTACTCAAACACTTATTGCCGAGAAGTGCACATGATTAGGAGGTTTAACGAACATTGCTCTATCACGTGAATTGCGCATTTCTCGCTGGTCGACTACCTCACTTTAGAGTTCATGAAAGAAGCTGCGAAAATATGGAAGGCGCAGATTGTATCAAGCTGTTCCAGAAATGGAAGGCACCACATTTTCAATTTCTTCCTCCTTTTACATATTTTAGCCACCTGCTCTTTCCGCGCCATACGTTTTCACCAGATTTTTGCCTTTCATGCCGCTGCTAGCATGTACATACTGTAAATACTGGGTGCCCATGAATTTCTGTATATAGAATGCTACCACAGTTTTTCTAGCACATAGAAAAAAGCCGCTAATGCGTCAAAGACAAGCAACTTTGCCAAGAGCTACTCCCCTACTTTCCCTAGTATCAATCATAACCGCCGGTCATCATAATGCCTTCAAGTAATCTGGAGTATCAATTAAGCAACAAAAGAGGTCACTGTGGAAGAGGCGTGTCCTGGTAACAGCAAAGAATCATCATTCATATTTTGTGGGTTCATCTGCATAGCAGGGCTTACAATTTTCTTTCGTGCTTCTTCCGCTGTCATCTATTGCATCTCTTCACATAATAACGGGAAAAAAACTGAACAATCACGCAAGGAATAACTAAAAACAAAACTAGCATAATTCCACTTCATGAGCGGCAAAAACACTTATCTAGTCTTAGTTTCATTCCAAATCTACGAATTCGTGAAAAGAGTTCTTCAACGTCTAAAAGATGTTGCTCAAAATTGTCTGAGCATGTTACAGTGTCGTCGACATATGCAAATGTGCAACTTTTCAATTCCCGAATCAGTGAGTTCGCTACTTTCGGGAAGGTATCTGGAGCACCTTTTAACCCCATAGGCATAGTTATGGTTTGGTATAGTCCTAAAAACGTTTGGAAAGCTGTGCGCTGGCGATGATTTTTTTCAAGCGGAATTTGGTGGAATCCGGGCTTAAAATCTGCTGTAGTATAATAATTTTTCCCCGCAGCTAAATCGATTATTCCTTGCACATTTGGAATGTGCATCTCCGTTTTCGTAATATTGTTTAGCCTACGATAGTCAACTATATACCTCCTGGTAGAATCTTTTTTCCTTACGAAGATGATAGGCGCACAAAACGGTGAAGTGCTTTTTTCAATTACATGTTGTTCTAGCAGTTCTTTGATTTGTTTAGCAATTTACTGTCGTTGTTCCAGTGGAACTCTGTATGCGTTCTGCTTTGGAATACTCGCGTTATTTATAAGTTTGATGCGATGCCTGATTGGACCATTATAAAAATCGGATTTGCCCATCCTTATCTAAGAAGAGCTCGCGATACTTATTCGCAATTTCAATAATTTTGCATCTTTCTTCTAGATTCAGTGAGTTGTTCCAGTTAATTTTGTCTTTGTTCGTTCTTTCAGCGTCGTTACTAAGGAAGGGGAAAGGGTCAATTTCAACCTCTTCGGGAACGCAATCGTGTTTTTCTTTGATGGTTTCATTTCCGCCGTCTTCTTTGGAACCTTAGACTGAAAATACTGTGCGCGTAAGTGATTTCCGTAATACGACTTTTTTTTCAAAAAAAGCGAGTGCAGCAACCGAATAACGACGTCATTTACAACACTATTACGGAAAAAAGGAAACAACGGAAATTACGCTTTGTTCAGGAGATGGTCGAAGAGCACGAGTCGCGAATTTCAATTCTAGAAGAAAAAATCCGAGAACTTCGCTGACTACTGGAGCAGAAATGCCCGAAATGCGAGCTGAAACCCGACGATACTCTCCAGAACAAAGCAGAAGAGCCAAAGAAAGAGCAGAATGCAAGCAATGAGGTTCCACAGCAGAACGCAACGGATACAACAGAAGAACTAGTTAAGCGGACCGTACGTCCTGGCCCAAGCCGTAGATTCCACCCTTATGAAATTCGATGTTGTCATTTTTGTAATGAGCCAGGCCACAGCGATAGTTGTAGGAATGTAATAGGGACTACCCAGCAAGCTCACATTATCCATTCAAAAAACTGTGCCCCAAATCTTTGAAAAGGCATTCCACAGCATGCCGCAAAGTGACTCCGTGCGTTTACTGCTGCAGCCCAGATGACTGTGCGCCACTAGTGCCGCGTTTGAGGGCAGATCAAAAAAGGCCCATGACTGTTGACCCACATTCTCTTCACATTGTAATGTTGTTGTCATTGTTTTCACCATTATTTTCTACTATTGTCGAGGACGACAATTTTTAAGAGGGGCATGTCACGGCCTCTTTCGTCTCTACTCTTGTCTCGTAGCCACGCCCATCTGTTGTGATGGGTGGATTATTATGTAACTTGTTCGGAATGAATTGTTGTCTTTTTACCTTATTCTTAATAGAGCTTGTATCAACTTTTTATTACTTGACATCATCCAAATTTCCGTTCAGAATCAATGCAAATTCAAACGGAAATGTGGACAAGTTAGTAGCTGCATATGAACGGGCCAATAGCAAAACCCACGCCCAGAGTGTATAGTCTCGCACCCACAATCGCGCGCCTACCCCGACTTGTGTCATTGCAGACGGCTCGACTAGCCTTACGCGACCACTTCGGCCACCACTTCGCTCGGCGATCAGTATCGGCGGATTTTCGCAATAGTCGGCAGAAACCCGCTTTTTCTTTGTTTCTGCGTGCTTTTTCTTTGTTCTTCATCGCTCTCCTTTTGCTTTTTGCAACTTTTACGATACATTGGAGCTATATTGTATTGCAGTCGCTCGAACAGTTCCCCTAGAGCAGTTTTTGAAGACTTTTCAGGTGTTGGAACTACTCGCTTCTTCAAAGTTTATTCATCGTCCCGTGGTTCCATATTCAGATTTCTATTCTGGCATTCATTCTGGTCTGCTCTATTGCTATCTGCTACTAGTCCACCACAGAATAGAATACAGTGTCACAGCGAATAATAGTAGACTAGCTTACAAACATCACAGTTTGGAAAAGAGCAGTATAGCAGACTAGAACGAATACCAGAATAGAAATATGAATACAAAACACAACTACGAAACCTTGGAGAAGCGAATAGTTCCAGCATCTGAAAGGAAAGTCTTCAAAGACTATTCTAGGGAAACTATTCGAGGAGCTGCAACACAAAATAGCTCCGATGTAACGTAAGAGTTACAAAAAGCAGAAGAAAAACGGTGAAGAACAAAGAAAAGCACGCAAAAACAAAGAAAAAACGTGCTCTTCGTGATCACTGCGAAACTTTGCCGATATTGATCGCCGGGAGAAGTGGGTGCCGAAATAGTCGTATAAGGCTAGTCGAGCCGTCTGCAATGACACAAACCGGGGTAGATGCGCGGTTGTCAAGTAAATGCCTGTATCTGCATCTACTTGTTTTATGACCCGGATTGCCAATAGTTCAACTAGTTGTGAATCCACAAAGTCACGGTTCTCTAGAGCAGATTTTCGGTTTCCCGAGGACTTAGGTTTTGACGGCGAAACACGAAAGGGCAACGAGTATCCATGCAACAGTGTGGTCGAGACCAACTGGGAAAGCTTGAGAGCCAGCCACTTTGTATGGCAAACATATACAGATCCGGTAAAAAACTCACTAGCGTCTTTCTGACACTCGCTGATCCAGTGTCCTTCTCTACTGCATCTCCTGCAGTTCGATTTACGACGGGTATCGACGTCTTTTTAGAGGTTTCTGAACTCCGGTGGACGACGAACGAATAGAGGCTGCTTACAGGAATAGGACGATGGGAATGGTCAAAAGCTGGGTTCGGGTTCACCCCCTGTTGAGTGTTGAGTAAGAAGCCATAGGCGCACTGCTGAAGAAGAGTGAAGCAGGGTGTCAAGCTGCTTCCCTTCTGCGAAAGGGCAGTTGTATCGAAGCCGCTTTCCGCTTCCTTGACGACTATACTTCGGAGCGACTGAATAATTCGAATGCAAATTCGAATAAATATTCTAATTCGAATCATTCGAAAATTCGTATATTGGGTGGTCGCGATATTCGAAT